GCTAATTCCTAAATGTCTAGCGATTTGGCGTTCTGATAAACCTGCCAACGATTTTTCAACTATTTGCCAACGGGTATTCGTAGATAGTTTAGTCATGACAAAAAAAAAAAAAAAAATAAAGTCCGTAAGTTTGTTTGTTTATCGTTATTGTTTATTTAACCGAATTATAATGTATTACATAAACATTCATATATAAATCTGTGCGTATGACTGCGTATGAAAAAATTTATCTCCGGAACAAAAATAAACCGGGTGGTCCAGGAATTATAAGAATAGCTGTAATAGGGACAATTCTCCTACGTTGAAGAAGTTAATCAAGGAATTATTATTGACTACCACTTCTTCCCAGCAAATTTCTTCGGAAAATATCACAATTTTACAGCCATATATTTCTGAAATGAACATAAACTCGGTTAATTTTCACGAATTAAATGATATGATCATCAAAGCCGAAGGCAATAACCAAATAACCGTTCGAGACGTGCTCCGTTGCTATTATTATTTCGGGAAGGGTTATAGCTTATGGTATGATTTTTATAGGAAGACCAATAATGAAGATGCGTCTAATGCCCTAGTTAATGATAAAATTAAGAAGGATATGCAGAAAAGTAACGAGTCTGATCAAGATAAAGTTTCAGAAACCAATGTTCGAAAACGGAAGGAGAGAGATAAAAAAATTTTCAGACTTTTTAATGGTATTGGTATGGATAAGATAGGCCGGATTACATCGTTTTATGTATCAAATATTTCAAGGTTAAGTATAGATGATATTGACTACGTGATAGCTAAAGTTTTAAAAGCATCGTGAGCCAGAAATACCACGCCACTGTGACCATGGTGGTCACACCTCTTCTATCGAAAATGATAATAAAATTATGTACTACATTTTTCTTTACATATTAAGCGATGCAAATATAAACTTATTAATAGCCACCGATTCTGGAAAAAAATGTGAAATGTTTCATGTAATCAAATAAAGAATAAAAAATTCATTATCAGGTTAACACTTTACATTAATCCTGCCTCATTGATTGGTCGGTTGTAACAAAGATTGGCTGATATGCTAACCATACTAAAAATATAAAAACACTAACGATTGTTGAGAATCCAATTTTCGTTTTTTTTTTTTTAATATTTTTTACATAAATAAATTTTTGGATTTAAAGATATAAAACTATGTCTTCACCTTCACCCACTTCACCGTCTTCAACTAATTCCACCGCACTAACAGAGGAGAAATTCACAATGGATGCCGTTGTCAAAGAACTGGATACTGAGGAACTTATTCAATATTTAAAGCGAAAAGGCTTAGGCCTAAAGGAGGAATACTATGAAATTTTAAGAAAAGAAGATATCAACGGGCTTGCCATTGTTGAAGATTTAACGGTAGAAGAGCTCCGTAGTATATGTCTACCGTTAGGGCCTGCAAAAATTCTAGCAAATTTCTCCGAGACACTAAAAACTCAAAAATTGAAATCATACTTTAAATACAGGACAGTGAAAGATTTTAAAGAAGTCTTAAAAGAGCAGGAAATCGATGGGACTAGCATAGATGACATCCCACAATTTACACCAAGTAAGGCGTTTCCTATGTAAATCAAACTATTGTACATTGCTATATTAGCAATACTTACTATTTCGATTTTAACAGAAACATACCCCATCGACGAAAATGATGAAGATTTAAAGGAGTGTGTGAAACTCATAAAGAACAAATTGAGCGTTTTGGAATCCTTACTTCCCACCGACGCCGAAAGAGAACGTTGTGAATACGTCGAATGTTTCCTCGATATAGCAATAATTATTGCCAGAAAGGTCACAGGAAAAAAGATAACCCGCCATCCTCAATTAGAAATCACTGGTGAAGATAATACTGGTCAAGTGGATTATGCCATAAAGTATCTCTCAGAACTTATCTGCATAACCGAAGGAAAATTTTGGAATGTATTCGAAGGGATTGTGCAAAATCTGCTTCAACTTAAAAATTCATCCCAAAAGAACAAACGCAGTGCCGATGTTGCCTTCAAGGAGGACTACATTTATGGAATAGTCACAACTGCGGAATTATGGTATTTTTTAAAATATAACAGTGAAGGAATTTTTTGCACGGGTAAAAATCCGCTTAGGGTCGAATTCAATGAATCTGCATTAGAGGATTCAAATGAAGAACTAAATTTACGAAATAATGTGAGAAAGGTTTTGGAGGTGATAGTGGGATTATTAATAGATAAGGTAGGAACTATCGAACCGCCTGTGAAAAAGGCCAAGTAGGACATTTTGAAAAAAAAATAGAAATGTAACTAGGAAATTATGTAAGCATAATGATTTTTTGATAGTGGCCTTAACGAATTTTTGCGTTATCATAAAGCGTAATGCGGATATAATAAAAAATCGAAACAAAAACTTGAAGCCAATCCCCCTAATTTCTTGTTGAAATATCTCGTTATGAAGGTGGGGTTGATCATGAACACGAAGTATAAAAATAAGAAAAATGGGAGGTCAGTCGAAAAAAATAATAGTGAATCGCAAAAGCATTTAAAGTTTTGAGTTTATCCAATGAGACCCAACTCGCGAAGATGATTTGGAATGACTATACAGTGACTTCCATAATTATTGTACCACTTCGTTTGTAATTTTTAGATTGTAATAAATAAAATTTCGATGATCGAACGATTTGCAGATTTAATTAATGTATCGTCTGAGTCTTCTTTTATAATATATTCAAATTCAAATTTCTTTTTATTTATAATTTTAAAAAAAAATTCTTTCATAACCATAAATTTTATGGTACAATACTTCTGGCGCATATAAAAATAAAATCAAAAACATAAATTTTTCAAATTTTTTTTTAACAAACTATGCTCTAATTTTTTTTTAACAAAACTATCACCATCTCGTATATCCCCCATTAGCCTTAAGTACATCTTTAACTCGTTGTGGCATAGTATCAATTAGCTTTAAACAAAATTCAGCATCAATTTGATTCCATACTAATTGTATCTTATTCCACAAATCTTCAGCACTAGTAATATTATCGGGAAGCTGTCGCAAATGACGATCAATTTCGCTCCACAAATGTTCAATGGGGTTTAAGTCCGGTGATTGTGCTGGCCAATCTAAAATTTTAATATTATTGTCATCAAACCACTCGTATGTTTTCTTTGCTGTATGTTTTGGGTCATTATCCTGTTGGAAAATGACATCATTTACATTCAAATCACACGCGCTAAGGGTCCCTAAAAACTCATCTCCCAAAATTTCTCTATATAACTCTCCATCCATTCTTCCATCAATTTTACAATACTTTCCAATGCCAAACGAACCCATACAGCCCAATATCATTACAGAACCTCCACCAAACTTTACAGTTGGTTTAATATGCTGTGGTTGCAAAGGTAAATTTGGATCTTTCCAACACCACTCTCTCCCATCCGAGCCAAAAATTAAGAATTTACTCTCATCTGACCACACTACTTTTCGCCAATCTTCTATAGTCCAATTCTTATATTTTTGAGCAAATTTTTTTCGTGCTTTTCTATGTCTCTTTAGCAGCAATGGTTTTTTTTTAACTCTAGCTACAAGACCTTACCTTTTTAATAAGCGTTGAATAGTATTTGGTGAAATAACAATATTTTCATTGGAAATTAAAGATTTTTAAATTTGAATAGCATTTGTACATTCACCCGACTTAATAAGCCTGGCAATATTTCTATCATGATGTTCTGTAAGTATTCTTGGACAGCCTGGTTTTGGAATAACATCAAAGCTGCCTGTTTCTTCTTTTCTTTGTTTAATTCTTATTACAAAAAGCATGAATTATATTTTGCGAGAAGCAATTGTACGACTTGGTAAACCTTCTTGGATAAGGGCAAAAATACGTTCCCTTTGGTGAAGTGAAATTGCCTTCATAATATATTTTTAAAAAAAACAAAAGAAAGGCGTACAAATTGATCTACTGATTTAAATTTACTTATATGTATAAGACACATCACACAATCATAACTTTATTATATTAATTTTGATTCTAAAAGTATTATATTACGAAAAAATTGCATATAAAGAAATTTTTTAAAAAGCCACAAATTAAATAATACTCAAATTTAAATATATTAAAAATCCAATTACAGGCTTTAAATTGGTTTAAAATTTTAGCCTTATAGTCACATAATTATTCAGGTATCATGATCTAAAAATTAAAAATGAAGTGATACAATAATTATGAAAGTCACTGTATATAGGTAAAAAATTATGTCACTATATTCAGAATAATGATTTGAACGTAACAATTATATTTTTTCTTTTAAACATTCTAAAGTGCGAAATCTCTATAATAAGAATTTAAAAAATATTAATAAAATTTAATCTACTGATTGTATTTTAATCAAATAAAAAAAAAATGATTTAAATTTATAAAAATGAATCAATTTATAAAAGTTTTTTTTTCAATTTTATAAATTATGTAGCATTGTGTAATATATATATGAGCCAATCAGAAATTAGAATTAAAAATCGAATGAAATAATTTATTTTATTTTATTTATTATTTCATTATAAATTGCATCAGATACATAATGATAAAACTTATATTTTTTATTTGCAACTCTGCCATTTTTCTAGTATTAACTTTTCTATAAATATTTATAAATCACCATGATTTTTGTACATATTTTTAAATTGTAATTAAAAGAACTGAATCTAATGCTTTAGAAAAAATTTATTATAATTCAACCTATATGTAATTGCAATATTCTTGTGTATTTCTTTTGCTATACCCTAATACATCTTTATATAATTCAATTTATAATAATATTTAAGTTAAAATATATAAATGATAAAAGAATTATTCTTATAAATTTGTCATTACATATTTTTTTTCAATTTCAGTTTTTATAATTAATTTTAAATAAATTTAACCTAGTATAACTTTATTAATCTTGAAGATATTGAAATTCTAATCCAAGATTCTTAAAGTATAAGTTATAGTTTATTTATTTTATAGATTAAATCTTTAATTTTATATACTAAAATTTTTTTTTGCATTTTAAATTTATTCTATTTTTACTATAGCAAAGTTCCTATTATAGAGTTTCTACACTGTATATCAAGTTTTACAATTTTTTATCAATCTACAAAATGATCACATGATTAAGATATTATTAATTCATTTTAATATATTATATTTTCATAACATAAATACTGTTTCTACTTTTCCCTTATTATTATAATAACAAGTTTATTACACAAGTAATAGATAGCTATTTTAGTAACATATAAATAATCTTTCTCACCATATGTATAATATTTTTATTTCAAAAATACATTATGTGATTCTAAATCCTATTTTTTCACTCACTATCTCCATACTTGACATATTTCTCATAATTATTGTATGAGTACTGATTGACATAATAAATATATTCAATTATGCATAACGTTTTTAGCTGATATTATCAATTTATAGCTAATTTAAATAAGATTATATACTCTATTAATCTGAATTCATTTTTATTTGATTATACATCCTTGTTAAAGAACTTTGTAGTATAAAATTTTTAATTAATGATTGACATTGTGTTATAAATAACTAGTAATTGATATGTAAAAACTATAAGACTATGACGTACATTACAGTTTCAAAGTTTAGCATCTTTTTATATAAAGCATAATTTATATCTTATATAACTAATCTGTGCAATAATAGATTTTCATATACAGTTAAAACTCGTTATAGTAAATCTCATTACAGCGAATTTGACTTATAGTGAACTTTTTTATTTTTCAAATTACTCTATAATAAAATTTTATTCGTTATAGTGAATTTTTTAATAAAATTTTAATATTAGATAAAGTAAATTTATTAAAAATTTAAAGATAGAGCATATTTTATAAATTTATGCTTATTATAGTAAAATCATCTTTTTAAAAATAAATTTGAAGATCGTTAAATCAGGTTTTTTTAAATAAATGCTATTTATTGTAACATAATATTAAATCTTAATTTTTTATTTTTTTATTCTTAAAATGTCACAAATAGAAAAGGTAAAGGAAAAGAGATAGAAAAAATAGCAAAATAAAAGGTTTATCATATGTAGAAAAAAGGAATTATGTGAATGAAAAAAGGATAATTTATCATATAACTAAGATGATCTTGCTAACTAATTCAATATATCAAAGACGCAAGTTTGTAAATATTAAAGAAAAGGATAAATAGTTGTCTATTAATACTTTAAATAAAAAATTTAATAATCAAAAACAAGATAGAGGTGTTAAGTTTTCAGAAATTGAATCTGCATTGTATTTGTGAATACAATAAGTATTAGCTTTAAATTTAACTTCTTCAAGAGATGTATTAAAAACCAAAACTTTAAACTTTGCAACTAGTTTACAAATAACAACTTTTATTGCTTCAGATAGATGATTATCAAAATTTAAAAAACGTTATAATATTAGATAAATAAATAAAGCTAATGAGGCAAATAGTATATCTTTAGAAACATTAGAAGAAGAACGTAATATTCTACAAGAAATTATCAAGTAATACAATCTTTATAATATTTATAACGTTAATGAAATAGGTAAATACAAATTGAAGTTATACAGTATAAAATTTATAACTATTATTTAAATTTAATATTATAATTTTAGTTTTATTCTAGAATTTAGAGCTATCAAAAACTCTTTCAGATCAATATATTGCTAGTATTAAAAATTAAAAAATTATATTACAGTTGTTTTAACTTGTAATGCTGATAGAAGTCATAAATTACATGATTTAATAATATTTAAATGGTAGATCTTACATGTTTTAAAAGGAATTAAAAAGGATAATTTATCTGTTTAATATTATTAGAATCATACTGCTTAAATGCAAGTGTCAGTATAACATAATTATCTAAATAAATTTAATCAAATAATGAGACAGCAAAATCATAATATTTTATTATTAGCAGATAATATACCTACACATTTAATAGATGAAAATATTCAATTATCAAATATTAATGTACATTTTCTTCCTTCAAATACAACTTCTTATTTACAATCTTTAAATGCTAATATTATCAACAGTTTTAAGGCAAGAATAATAATTAGTATTAATTTTTTTTTAATAATTTACTTATTAATTATTATTTATAAAATTTTAGGCCTAATATAAAAAATTATTAGTTACAAATAAAGTGGAGGCATATGATTTATTTCAAGAAGACAACTCTAAAATACCACTAATTGATATTCTTAATGCTATAACATTTGTGAGTGAAGCATAGAAAATTGTAAAGCCAAATACAATTAAAAATTGTTGAAAAAAACAGGTATTTTGTCTGATTCTGAAGAAAATGATTCTGATCAAGATCAGGAAACCATTATTGATGATATTGATAAAATTACTTCAGAATTATGAGATATGATTAACATTTTAAATTTACAAGATCTTATTACAGCTGAAAAGTTTATCTATATTAATAATGAAATACTAATAGAACCATTAACAGATGAAAAAATTATAGCTGTGGTAGCTTCAAGTCCTGAAAATAATAATATAAAAGAAGCTAATGAATTGGAAATAAATATTATTATCAATAAAGAAGCTTTGAATAGTTTAGAAAAGGTGATTCAATATTTTAAAATCTGCCTGATAATTAATTATGCGAAGATGAAAATTATTAATATTTTAAAATCAAAAATTAATAAGCAAATTCAAGATATTGTATTTACTTTAATAATATAATACAGTAATAAAAGTTTTGAAAAAAATCGTATTATAAAAAAATTTTTTTATTCATATAATATTCACTATAAAGAAATTTCTCATTTTAGTGAACATTCGTTATAGTGAACAAAATTGACTAGAACTGAAAGTTTACTATAACAAACTTTGACTGTATATCCCTTTAAAAATTATTTTTTTCATTCGTATTACTCTTTCATTACTTTTTTAATTGCACAAATTATGTCATTTAACATTGCAGGTTCTTCTACTAGTGTTCCTATTATTTTCTCATCTGATCTTTCTTCATCTGATATTTTAATAGTTGAAAAAGTAAAGAAATTGAATACTTCTAAAAAACTTAATAGTTTTTTGAAAGGAAGACTTACAAACCTTGATAATCATATAAATACCTTAATAGCTCAAGAGGTTGATAGTGAAACTTTCCTTAAAATAACCTAAGAAGATCTTACAAAACTAGAAATACTCTTGGACCAGCTAAAAAAATCTTGAAGCTGATTAATGAAATTAAAAAAGGTAAACAATCTTTCTTTTCTATCATAATACTGAATACTTACTTATTCTTGTGCTTTTCTTTTCTGCTTCTTATCATCAAACTTACCCAAAAAATATATTCACGTTATTGTAAAGAAACCTGTTATTAGTAAGTGAGCTGTAATAATTTAGTCAATGCAAGTTTTTGATAATTATGTTTCATTTTTAACCTGTACTTTGTCATATAATTATTAATACTTTAAACCTATACTAATTTTCTTATTTTGTTTCTTAACTTTTAATTTTTTCACTAGACAAAAAGAAAAAGGAGAATACAAAAAGTTAGTTCTTATAGATTATTATTTAACACTATATTAAAAGTATCTGAGTTAACTATTTTTTTGTTTAGGGTCTTGCATTTTTGCGCTTTCCAATAAGATATATCATAATGTCAATTTTTACATTAAACCTAAAATAATGATTGAAAAGTTGATAGAGTTTCTTTTTAATAGTAAGTTTTCTCTCTTATATGGACATTATCAAAGTGAAAAGTTAACTACTGCTTATACAGTAAAAGAGTGGCTTGAAGACAAATACGATAAGGAAGTTTACATTGTTACTTTTTCTAGCGAAATCATAGTCAATGAAGGACTCAATGAATTTTGGCATTTCATATGCATTAAAATACATAGTTTAAATACGAATCAGTTCAAATATAATGTATTTAATAAGTTCGCTTGAGTATAAGTATTATCGAATACATTTGAGAGTTTATTCTCAAGATATAATAAATAATAATCCCTCAGCAAAGGATTGTATTATCATTATTAATAAGACTTCGTATCTTGTTAGCAACCAAAAAAATTACTGAGAGCTTTATCAGCTCATTGCGAGTTTTAAAGAATAAATGTGATCAGTTCAATGTATTTTCTTTTATGCTTGTTAGCACTAAAATTATTATGGAGTTTCTTCTCAGCTATCAACAACTGAATTCTATATTAATTATTTCACTTTTTCTGATGAGGCAAGTACAGTATCATTCTGTTTTACTGAAATAGAGATTTCAATGCTTCTCTAACAGTATTCTGTAAAGAATAACTATAATATAGATGTATAATATATCGCTAAGAATATCTATTACATTACTCTTGAACATACAGGTCTTATTGGTCTTTGCTGCTCTTTTCTTGAGATCAGAATTATGAAAGGCAAGAACAAATTAACAATTGATTAATGGAATAAGGTGACTTATGTGCTACCTGAATTCATAAAAAAAAGCTACATATGAATCCATAGTTCAGTTTCTTCCTAGTCTATTAGAAGAACGAAAATAAATCCTTGCAAAGATCTTTCGTTCAAAAACTGATGTAGTTTCTTATATGAGTACATTCACTTACTGCAATATTTAATTTATTATATTATTATTCATCTTTTTCTTTTTTGGTAAAGAATAATCCTGATGTAAAATTTCTTCTCGCAAAAGGAATAATTATTATTGAAAGAAAGCTGGACACTGGAGAAGTATTAATCTGGTATACTAAACCTATCCTCTGTAATATCATTATATATCAAATAATAGGACCTAATATCAACCTCTCCAAGAGTCTCAAACTAGATAATGCTTAAGCAATCAATGATAATAGATGTTAGAGCACACTTTTGAGGTAGACAATTATTCTAAATTTTTTTTTTGTTGCAATGAAACAAATGTATATACATTCAGTCTACTAAATACTTCTTTTCATAAAGAATCTATCACTCCAGCATATATTCACTGATAAAACTAGAAATTTTAATGGTGAGCCATTTGAGTACTCATTCCAAGTTGAATTTATCACTGTTATGAAGAATCTGCTTTTTGCGACCTATCTGAAACTTTTTTACCACATGCTTTTTGAGGTAAAGGAGTATGATGATAACAATGGTAACCGCTGTCAGCGCTTAGACATTCTCATTAAGGATGATCAGTGGATGGAAGCTTTTAGCTTTGAGCTTATTGTTAGAATAAGTCGGAAGGTTTATGACGAACACTGCGAACATTCTAAAAAATATGCTCAACTTTATCAATGCTCCATGCTCATAGTGAACATTTGTACCAATAAAAAGCTTATTAATTACTTTGGGTCAGATTATGAAAATGTAACTACTGTACATGTAGTCTATGATGAAAGTAAAGGATGTGCAGAATTGGTATATAAGGATGGAAAAGTGAGTTTATTGATCCTGAACACTCAATGGTAAGGTCTGTTTTTTAAATCTTTTGATTGATTCTATATGGAAGTAATAATTTTTCGTTATGTTGTTAAAGGGAGATGAATGTGCTAAAAAAATCAAAAAATATATATAAACCTCTTTACAATCCAGAATCAAAATTTATCTTTTATTAAAATACAGTATTTTAGCAGTAGTCAAAATTCCTAATGTTTGTTTCCGATGTATGCATTGTGGCGTGTTTGCATGTGAATTGGAAAATAAAATATTTTGTTCCGGTATTTAATGGCCAATTAAAGTTAAGAAATTTACTGCGTAAAATTCGCATATTATGCCGCAGCATAATCCTGGACACCATTTTCTGAAAAAGTACTTTAAACTTTATAAATAATACCCAATTTAAATGCATAGCCCCCTTTTCTAAATAACTCGACTATTATCACCTGATATTTTCCACGTGATATAATATCCAGTTTACGATAAACTAATAGATGACGCGAACTGTATCTATAGGCCATTTCAAAGTTGATCGTTCAGATTTTGTGATTGGGTTGTACAAACATTTCGACCAATAACATTTGCGATCAAAATTCGCTTTTTCGATCAATCAAAA